ATGGAGAGGCACCCTGTTCCTCTCTGTGAGCAGTGTCAAGTTCCAGTATCGATTAGCCACATTCTGTTAGACTGCCCTCTCTATCAACGAGCACGCAGAATTCACCTCCAACGTCGCCTTCGTTCTACTACTCTCTCTTTACCTTCCCTTCTTGCTGATGGACCCTCCTTTAATCCTGACTCTCTCATTGACTTCTTGACAACAACTGATTTACTCCACAAACTCTGATGATGATACTTTTCGCTCTCCCCTCAGCCCTTTCTAGTTCAGTCTCTTGCTGCCCTTTACCCTTTCACCATCCACTGCCCCGCTGTTATCCATAACCTATTACTCATCCATCTCCCTTTTGCCACCTGATGCCCTCGCTTCCTTCCTGCCCTGCAGCGCTGTATAGCCCATGTGGCTTAGCGCTTCTTTTTGATTTTGATTATAATAATAATACGTTTAGACAGTTTAACCCTTTGAGGGTTTTCGTCGTACTAGTACGTCTTACGCGTAGGGGTTTTTGACGTACTAGTACTCATAAATTCTAGCGGCCTCAAATCTAGTGGGAGAAAGCTGGTAGGCCTTCATATGAAAGAATGGGTCTATGTGGTCAGTGTGCACAGTCTACAAAAAATCCTGCAGCACACAGTGCATAATGAGAAAAAAAAAACTTTGACCATTTTTTTTTAATAAATCAGCGACTTTGCAGTGTATTTTCGTATGGTATTTATTGTTGTATTCTAGTTTTCTTGGTCTCATTTTATAGAATGGAAGACATATTACTGAAATTAAGATGATTTTGACTGGTTTTACAATGAAAGGTGCCTTGAAATTGAGCTCAAAGTAGCAGAAATGTTCGATTTTTACCAAACTTCAAAAGTAAACAAATCGTGCCAAGCGTGCAATACACGTCAACTGGTGAGTCTAATATTCTTTCACAAGTGCACCAATAATATTTATACCATTTTTTACACTAATGCAGTAGTCTGCATAACAGTAAATCTTATATTTTTTGTGAGAATAAAAATTCAAAGTGGAAAGCAAAAGAATATAAGAGGGGCCTTGAGACGTGACTAATGACTAGAGGAAATGTCATTTTAGTGCCAGGAATGTCTTTCTTGTTTATTCTGGACCCTATTCGGAAATTGGCATCTTTTGAAATTTGTGTGAAATTGGCAAAATTGCTAAATTCTGACCACTGTACTGGATAGTTGAATTTATAAATGGGTGGTTTTCTTGCACCCATTCGATAGAAAAAATGGAGTTCTAGCGAAATATTCATGTTTTTTGTCGACTAGTACAGTGAAATTGGCCGAAAATGGGGCGCAAAGTGGGCAAAATCGCCGATGCGTAAACATCACCGAGACCGCTAACTTTGCGAGAGCATAATTCCGTAAGTTTTCTATCAAATTTCAAACTTTTGGTGTCGTTATGATCGGGAAAAGATTCTCTATCTTTTCATAAGAAAAAATAATTTTTTTTTTTTTTTAAATTTGGCCGACCCTGAGAACGAGTTTCGGAGAGGGCCTGTCGACCCTCAAAGGGTTAAGGGTTAAAGTTTATATTCAAGAGTGACAGTATGATCATCAGAATCACAAGTTTTTGAAACCATGAATGGATTCCTGACTTAACAGATACTGAACCTGTTGAAAATCTAGGAGCTACATAAGAAAATGCTCTTTCTGTGACTGACTTCTTCACAACAGCAAGATGCTCAGTCATTTTAAAAGGGTCCATGACAATTTGCAGAAATATTCCTGAGCTTTGTGTGAAAGGTACAAGCATATCATCAAGATGGGTTCACTAAGCCTAAATGCTTTAAATGTATGCCTGGTAGAGTAAGTTACCAATAGAAATGGGACATTGCATAATAGCAAATTTGCTCAAAGTGAAACCGCAAAAAGCGAGGGAGATGTGTACTCTGGGAGGTAGACAAGGCTGATCCTTGTGGGACCCCACTGATGACATTGCTGCATGAGGCTAAGTTTCCTCTTATCACTTCTGACAGAAGATATAACTGAAATACTCTGTCATTTATTCCTCTTACGAGTGCTTGTTACCAGATTAGGAAATCTGCCCATCTGCTTTTATGTGACTCCATCTTACCATCTTAATTTACCTGGAGTTTACCTGGAGAGAGTTCCGGGGGTCAACGCCCCCGCGGCCCGGTCTGTGACCAGGCCTCCTGGTGGATCAGAGCCTGATCAACCAGGCTGTTGCTGCTGGCTGCACGCAAACCAACGTACGAGCCACAGCCCGGCTGATCAGGAACTGACTTTAGGTGCTTGTCCAGTGCCAGCTTGAAGACTGCCAGGGGTCTGTTGGTAATCCCCCTTATGTGTGCTGGGAGGCAGTTGAACAGTCTTGGGCCCCTGACACTTATTGTATGGTCTCTTAACGTGCTAGTGACACCCCTGCTTTTCATTGGGGGGATGGTGCATCGTCTGCCAAGTCTTTTGCTTTCGTAGTGAGTGATTTTCGTGTGCAAGTTCGGTACTAGTCCCTCTAGGATTTTCCAGGTGTATATAATCATGTATCTCTCCCTCCTGTGTTCCAGGGAATACAGGTTTAGGAACCTCAAGCGCTCCCAGTAATTGAGGTGTTTTATCTCTGTTATGCGCGCCGTGAAAGTTCTCTGTACATTTTCTAGGTCGGCAATTTCACCTGCCTTGAAAGGTGCTGTTAGTGTGCAGCAATATTCCAGCCTAGATAGAACAAGTGACCTGAAGAGTGTCATCATGGGCTTGGCCTCCCTAGTTTTGAAGGTTCTCATTATCCATCCTGTCATTTTTCTAGCAGATGCGATTGATACAATGTTATGGTCCTTGAAGGTGAGATCCTCCGACATAATCACTCCCAGGTCTTTGACGTTGGTGTTTCGCTCTATTTTGTGGCCAGAATTTGTTTTGTACTCTGATGAAGATTTAATTTTCTCATGTTTACCATATCTGAGTAATTGAAATTTCTCATCGTTGAGCTTCATATTGTTTTCTGCAGCCCACTGGAAGATTTGGTTGATGTCCGCCTGGAGCCTTGCAGTGTCTGCAATGGAAGACACTGTCATGCAGATTCGGGTGTCATCTGCAAAGGAAGACACGGTGCTGTGGCTGACATCCTTGTCTATGTCGGATATGAGGATGAGGAACAAGATGGGAGCGAGTACTGTGCCTTGTGGAACAGAGCTTTTCAACGTAGCTGCCTCGGACTTTACTCTGTTGACGACTACTCTCTGTATTCTGTTAGTGAGGAAATTATAGATCCATCGACCGACTTTTCCTGTTATTCCTTTAGCACGCTTTTTGTGCGCTATTACGCCATGGTCACACTTGTCGAAGGCTTTTGCAAAGTCTGTATATATTACATCTGCATTCTTTTTGTCTTCTAGTGCATTTAGGACCTTGTCGTAGTGATCCAATAGTTGAGACAGACAGGAACGACCTGTTCTAAACCCATGTTGCCCTGGGTTGTGTAACTGATGGGTTTCTAGATGGGTGGTGATCTTGCTTCTTAGGACCCTTTCAAAGATTTTTATGATATGGGATGTTAGTGCTATTGGTCTGTAGTTCTTTGCTGTTGCTTTACTGCCCCCTTTGTGGAGTGGGGCTATGTCTGTTGTTTTTAGTAACTGTGGGACGACCCCCGTGTCCATGCTCCCTCTCCATAGGATGGAAAAGGCTCGTGATAGGGGCTTCTTGCAGTTCTTGAGTTCCATGAGTCTGGCCCTGGGGCAGAGTGCATGGGCATGTCATTTATCGCCTGTTCGAAGTCATTTGGCGTCAGGATAACATGGGATAGGCTTGTGTTAATCAAATTTTGTGGCTCTCTCATAAAAAATTCATTTTGATCTTCGACTCTCAGTCTGGTTAGCGGCTTGCTAAAAACTGAGTCATATTGGGACTTGAGTAGCTCACTCATTTCCTTGCTGTCATCTGTGTAGGACCCATCTTGTTTAAGTAGGGGCCCAATACTGGACGTTGTTCTCGATTTTGACTTAATGTACAGTATATGATTTTAGTTATTGGCTCTTCAGCTGTTTGATAGCAAGTTTTGGCTCTACAGATGTGTTATCACTTTTTCTGTAATTGCTTATTCCAACATTTTTTCAACAACACTCATCAAGAAAGACCTATAGATAGTTTTAAGATTCTTCCTAATCACTTTTTAATATTGGCATGATGCCATGTTTCTGCTAGTATGTCTTGTAATAAAATGCCCCAAAAATGCAAAATTGGAATGTTTAATTTTACTGTTTTTATCAGTACTTAATAGATAGTGGAACACAATTCTTCCTCTGTATGCCATGTGTGTCATAAGAAGAGAGTATATCGCCAGGAGCTAGTAACCCCTTCTCCTTTATATATTACTAAGTTTAAAAAGAAAAACTTTCATTTTTTCATTAATTTTTTCTCTAGTTATTTCAGTTATTTCAACTAACATGGAAAGATAGTCTTACTAAGATGAATGAGAAACTACATGAGCAAAATAAAAATTAAAAAATAATTGTTGTCTAAAATTTAATTTATAAAGAAATAGGTAATAAAGCTGAAGTAATAAATAATGATTATCTGAATTTCTCATTGTGATGATAAAATATTTTTATGCATCAGCATATTAAAGTAACTGCAGTGAGTACGCCATACTGTCATTATCAGACCTATTATTTACTAGGAAAGAAATTCTATTTTTTTTTTTTTCAACAAGTCGGCCATCTCCCACCGAGGCAGGGTGACCCAAAAAGAAAGAAAATCCCCAAAAAGAAAATACTTTCATCATCATTCAACACTTTCACCTCACTCACACATAATCACTGTTTTTGCAGAGGTGCTCAGAACAACAGTTTAGAAGCATATACATATAAGAAAATCACCTATATAAGCATTAGAATGGCCTTAGCAAGGGTATTTTTACTATTCTGCCTAGACTATTCAATAGACAGTTTTTTAAACTAGAATGTTAATGAAATAGTGGCATCTACCAAAAAATATACTATAGCATCATTAATTTGTACCTTACAGGTCAGCTGAATTCTCCCCAGTTGGCAGCTCAGTTAGCCAAGTCATCTGCTCAACAAGGAGGATCATCCTCTTCTATCCCAGTTCTGCAGGTTTGGATTTTTTAATGATAGTGTTACACTTTGCACATCTCTTTTTACCCATGAACTAAAGAAAGCAAAACTGTAGTGAGCTTAAGAAAATGCAGTACTTGGATTAAATCTCACAAAAAAACACAACTCTTCAACCTAAGCTCAGATTAAGCCTTGGATTAAATCTCACAAATCAGTAGAACTCTTCAACCTAAGCTTAGGTTAAAGGAGGCCAATTGAGTTAAGATTATTTGTCACCACCCGTGCATTCAGTTTTTCTAATCAGTAATGTATTTACCACAATCTCTACTCTTGGCATGCTCCTTCTCCTACCCTGTTCATTTTAAGTATAAATCTTCAGCATTATGATTTTTTATGTCCCTGCTGCATATTTATTTTTGTGTGTACAGTAATTGTATTTTTAATTCCATTAATTTTCAGCATTGGTCATTTGTGTCTAAAGCGTATTATTAAAGTTCTTACAAAAGCATTGGACCAAATATTTTTGGTAGATACAGTATCATATACCTTCCATATTTATAATATACAGTGTCCCCTATATTGTCTGTATCCTTTTTTAACTTCAGGGGAAGCAATTTAGGATCACTACTAGGGGCTAGGTGTCTTTTCATCCATTATAGAAAACTTCTTATCTAAAACTTTTAAGGAGGAACAATATTAAACTTTTAGGAACATAAGAAAGAAGGAAAACTGCAGCAGGCCTACTGGCCCATGCGAGGCAGGTCTGGTTCTCCTACCGGCTTAAGCTAACGCCCTAACCTAGTCAGATCAGGTCACATTCGCTTAAGGAAGGAGCACATGGTATCTGACCTAGCAGCACTAGCTAGTCAGGTCCAACTCACACCCAGACCCACGCATGTACAGTGGAACCTCGATTTTCGTTTGCCCTGGTTTTTGTCGAATTCGGTTTTCAACGACCTTTTTTTTTGTCAAAATATTGTCCCAGTTTTCCTTCATCACCTCGGTTTTCGTCCGTCATACCGAACATGTCCGTCTGCCCATGCCCACACAAAGCATCCCACACACACATTCTGAGTCAGTCTGGCTTTGTTTCTTGTCGAGTGAACATTACCCTGCTCATTCATACAAAAACATTTTGTAATACTGTAATCCATTGTTTTTTGTGCTTGTTTATTGAGTGCGACTGCTAAATAAGCCACTATAGGGCCAAAGAAAGTTCCGAGTGCCAGCTCTTTGATAAAGAAGGTGAGAAACACGATAGAATTCAATGGTGGTAGAGGGTGGTAGTGATGATGGTAGAGGGTGGTATTGATGGTGGTAGAGGGTGGTATTGATGGTGGTAGAGGGTGGTAGTGGTTTTGATGGTGGTAGTGATGGTGGTAGAGGGTGGTGGTGGTAGAGGATGGTAATAGAGGGTGGTAGTGATGGTGGTAGAAATCACCTCTCTTCTCTCTTCCCTCCTCACCGTCTTCCATACACCAACAAGAGTCTTCAATAAAGGTAAAAGTGATATAAATGTTCATTTATCCATTTCATTAGTGCTTTATATTTATTTCTCATTGTTTTCTGTATGTAAAACTAGTTATTCTGTATAAAATGTATTGTTTGTTAATATTTTTGGGTGTCTGGAACGGATTAATTGGATTTACATTACGTATTTCTTATGGGAAATACTGCTTCAGTTTTCGTTGAATTTGGTTTAGTCATACTCTGGAATGAATTAAAGATGAAAACCAAGGTTCCACTGTATTTATCTAACCTATTTTTAAAACTACACAATGTCTTAGCTTCTATGACGGTACTCGGGAGTTCGTTCCACTCATCCACAACTGTATTGCCAAACCAGTGCTTTACTATATCCTTCCTGAATCTTAACTTTTCCAGCTTGAAGTCATTGCTGCAAGTCCTATCTTGGCTAGATATTTTTAGCACACTATTTACATCCCCTATATTTATTCCTGTTTTCCATTTATACACCTCAATCATATCCCCCCTAATTCTACGCCTTTCTAGAGAGTGCAGATTCAGGGCCGCCAGTCTATCCTCATGGGGAAGATTTCTGATACATGGGATCAACTTTGTCATCCTCCTTTGTATGTTTTCCAGTGAATTTATATCCATTCTGTAATACAGTTACCAGAACTGCGCATCATAATCTAAATGAGGCCTAACCAAAGATATGTAGAGTTAAAGGACAACCTGAGGACTTCTATTATTTATACTTCTTGATATGAAGCCAAGAATTCTGTTAGCTTTATTGCAAACCCTTATGCACTGTTGTCCTGGTTTCAGATTACTGCCAACCAAAACTCCTAAATCTTTTTCACAATCAGTAATATTAAGATCTACATTATTTAGTTTATATGTGGCATGGTTATTTTCCTGTCCAACATTCAGAACTTTGCATTTGTCTATATTAAACTGCATCTGCCACTTCTCTGACCACTGCCTCAGTCTATTCTGGAAAACGTTGGAAATTCATAAGGGTAAATAGTGCAGTCTCTCATTACACTGACTAACTTATTCCAAACAACTAAGGTACAAGGTGTTGGTGGACAGTTATTCACATCAATGCGAGGTGGAACATCTGCAGCAAGTGGTGGTGGCAGTGGTGGTGGAAGTGTTGGCACTACTTCTGGTGGATCTATGCAACAGCAAACTGTACAAGTAGCACTTCAGGCAGGACAGGTATTAATGAACTGTATTTCTTGATTACCGGTTAGCCAGATTTGAGTCCTGAAAATGGGAAGTACAATGCCTGCACTTTAAAGGAGGGGTTTGGGATATTGGCAGTTTGGAGGGACATCTAAACTGTTGTATCTGAGCGCCTCTGCAAAGACGGTGATTATGTATGAGTGATGGTGAAAGTGTTGAATGATGATGAAAGCTTTTTCTTTCTTTTGGGTTTTATTTTTTTAGGTCACCCTGCCTCAGTGGGAAATGGCTGACATGTTAAAAAAAAAACTTCTTGGTTGAGAATATTCATGCATATTGGACATTTGGTTACAAAAGTAATTTTCTGAATTTTGTTAAAAAAAATTGCCTTTGCATTTTATCATATAAGACTAATTGTATGCCCAAAACAGGAATAAGAGAATATGATAAGGAACAGAATACTGTATAGGCTGTGATTGTTACATTATTAAAATGTGTAATGAATCTTAGTAAAATTAAACTAGTAGAAAATAACCTTGATAATTCTTGGAATAAATGCATTCTTTGTTAGGCCTTGGTTACTGAAAGAAGCACCATCTTGATAACTATACCCACTTGTATGATTCATGTTAGTGCAGATGTAATCTAACTGTTTTGGTGAGGTTACTCAAATCTGCATATCTCCAAAACAGTCTTTTTTTTATGCAGTTTTTAACACCAGTGAAGCAAAGCTTAATGACCAGTGTGGTTTATGGTAAATTATGTAATTACTTGTTTGTAACTATGGATGTCTTATCTACAAGAAGGTTTGAAAGTTGTGTTGAGTATCCAGTAGGCATGCATGAGTAATAGATCAGGGTGAGTGGAGACAAATAATTTTGGGGATATAATGTGCTGTTAGAAGGAGTGAGACCTAATATTTATGAAGGGATTCAATGAGGTGAGCAGTATAGTGCATGCACTCTGAAGGATGAGTGAAATGTTGCAGTTCAGTGGGTCACTTGAATTGTGATGTCCATGCTTTTCTGGAAAAGTAGTGAGGAAGTGAGTGGCATAGAATGTAAACCATGCTAAATAGTCTTCAAGCTCTGTGCTTGGCTACCTTGAGTTCCATGCTTGTTGATGGTTTGGTTTTCTTTCAGTACCAGTTTTACCTCTGCTGTACTGAACACTAGCAGAGGTATATTGTATAACCTCTTTCATCGAATGTTTTTGTAAAATCCTGTAAAGTAGAAGGCTTCATGTTTTGACTTTGTGGGTGCCCACAGGCTCTCATGCTAGCTAGATCTCATGTGACTGTTCAGTAGCTAAATGACTACAGCCATCTGAACTTAGATGCAAAGTACTGTAACTCATTGACAGATGAGGAAGTCTTGAATGAGGAACAGAAGTTTTATATACAGTACATTGCCTCCAGTACAACCTGGCAACACAATAAGGTTGTATTTAGTGAAACTTCTCTGTATTATACTTTAGCACACTCAATTGTTTTACGATGAAAATAATTTATTTTCTTACATACCACCTATGTGTAAACACCATGATATCGACCACAGTACGGTGGGTTTAGAACCCATTGTAAGTGAGTCGTAAAACTCCAGTCATGTTATTACAATCTTGTGAGTCACTGTGATATGGCATATATCCAAGAGAGATGCTTTTGTAGTGTCAAGCCCTGTCAGATGCACTACTCAACATTTTAAGGGAAGTAAACTGAAAAATTGTGTACAGTTCAGTGGAAAAAGTCTGCAGTATTGTTTGACAAGTCTGTGCTAGTGAAATATTCCAGATATCCACATTAAGCATTGTCTTGGTCCCAACATTGCCATATATGATATGTTATACTCTACTGTAGTATAACATGCTAGGTGTCATTTCCTTATATTCTAGAGTATATCAAAATGTGAGAAGTTTTGAGGAAAACTTTTGCCAGAAATTATGATTTCTCTGTATATCAAAATATGAGAAGTTGTGAGGGAAAAGTTTAGCTAGAAATTATGATTTCTCTGTATATCAAAATATGAGAAGTTTTAAGGAAAGCTTTAGCCAGAAATTATGATTTCTCTGTAGGGAACTGGCACTGTTGTCTCAGGTGGTGAAGCCAACATTGCTTCAGCGCACACAACCACTTCTCAACCATCAGTTGTAGCTCTTACAGCCAAGCAACAGGTAAGTTTTCAGTGTTTAGTAAAGATAAGGTTGTGCTTTTAGAAGGACAACAATGGATAATTTAGAAATTTGTTTAAATTAATTAATAGTAAGAACATTTCTGCTAATGGCTCAATCTTTACTCATTATAAAATAAGTTATTGACCTATAGCTACATTTGAATGTAAACATCATCTTCAAATTGTATACAGTATGTGTCTCCTCTTGCTCTATAAGAATCTTTTCATTTGTGCTTATCTTGGACAGTTTGCTTGCAGGAAATATTATATGTGTCTCCTTATGGTGGAAAACATGAGAAGCTACTTAAGGACTTATGTTGATCATTCAATCAAGTTGACATTAAGTAAACTTAGCTTTATTTTTAGCAGTCAAAAGTGTGGTCTTCTGCACCACTCCTGTTTTGACACTGCAGTATGTCAAATGAACAATTATGCATCAACTTAAAATTTATTAAACATGCTTAGTAAATGGATGTTTTAAAAAGAGAGCAAAACTGTCATGTTACATTTACGATTTAGTACGGTTGTACACCGAGTTTCGTACAACTCCCAACTCTAACAATAATGTGAGTGTATTATTGTAAGTGCTTTTGTAATTGTATATTTGGTGGTCTGAAATGGACTAATCTAATTCACATTATTTCTTATGGGAACAAATTCGTTCGGTAATGGCACTCGAACAGCCTTCTGGAACAAATTATGGCCGAAACTCGGGGTACCACTGTATATTATAATGGTACATGTTTTTCCTGAATAGCTGACTCCTTAGAGCAGGAGTTCCCAAACTCTGAATCACTACTTAAACTTGAGCCATAACCTGATAGAAATTGAGTGTGTATAATTTTTTACCAAATGTTTTCTTAATATGCTTTAAATTTATTTGTCTGGAGTGCTAGGTGGTTATTGGTACCATTTGGGTTGCAAGCAAATATTGTTTCAAATTTTGAGTTGGTGACAAAAAAATTTGGGAACTACTTAGAAAAATCTATAGATTGTTATAGGACTATGTAGATGCCAATTTGAAAAAAAAAAATTGACTCCTTACTTGTCCTTGTCTGGCAACTCGTAAGATATACGTATATAAAAATCAAACTTTCTCTTGAAGGATTGAGAATTTGAAATACTGTAGAATATAACTGAGAAAAGAAATTGGTGAAATATTTGAAACTCACATTTGAGTGATGGTGAAAGTGTTTCTTCTTCTTTGGGCCACCCTACTTCAGTTGGAGAGAGCCACTACACTGTTAAAAAAAAAAATCCCAATTTTTGGTTTCCATGCAGTGACTTCAGAAGATCTCTTCTGATCAGCTTCAAACTTTCAACATTGGTATATCTTACTTAAAAGAATATTGGCTTTATTATTAGTGTGTGTAGGTGCTAATTTGCCAGTTTTTATTTTAAAACTGCATGTTTTATACATGAAATAACACTGAATATGCTTCTTTTGAATGGCCTCAATCTTTAATGGCTGATACATTTTATGAAAAGACTATTATCTTTTGGGTTTAGGCTGTGTAGATGAAAATTTGCCAATTTACTAACATTGTTAATTAATAAACTTGGAATTATTGGATTATTTGCTATGACTGCAGAAAGGCTCATCTGATCAGCTTCAGACTTAGTACTGGTATGTTTTTCTCATCTCCATGGGAAAGTGGGATAGAATTCTTCCTCCACAAGCCATGTATGTCGTAAGAGGCGACTAAAATGTTGGGAGCAAGGGACTAGTAAACCCTTCTCCTGTATGTACAGTATTACTAAATTTAAAAGGAGAAACTTTCCTTTTTCCTTTTGGGCCACCCTGCCTCTGTGGGATATGGCCAGTTTGTTAGAAGATGTTTTCTCAATTTAGGTAGTAGGTTGGTAGACAGCAACCACCCAGGGAGGTACTACTGTCCTGCCAAGTGGGTGTAAAATGGAAACCTGTAATTGTTTTACATGATAGTAGGATTGCTGGTGCCTTTTTTTATATCTCATAAACATGCAAGGTTTCAGGTATGTCTTGCTACTTCTACTTACACTTAGGTCACACTACACATACATGTACAAGCACATATATACACACCCCTCTGGGTTTTCTTCTATTTTCTTTCTAGTTCTTATTCTTGTTTATTTCCTCTTATCTCCATGGGGAAGTGGAACAGAATTCTTCCTCCGTAAGCCATGTGTGTTGTAAGAGGCGACTAAAATGCTGGGAGCAAGGGGCTAGTAACCCCTTCTCCTGTATAAATTACTAAATTTGAAAAGAGAAACTTTTGTTTTTCTTTTTGGGCCACCCTGCCTCGGTGGGATACGGCCGGTTTGTTGAAAAAAAAAACAAAAAACATGCAAGGTTTCGGGTACGTCTTGCTACTTTTCCTTACACTTAGGTTACACCACACGTGCATGTACAAGCATATATATATACATGCCCCTCTGGGTTTTCCTCTATTTCCTTAGAGGGTTTTTGTTCTTGTTTATTTCCTTTTATCTCCATGGGAAAGTGGAACAGAATTCTTCCTGCATAAGCCATGCATGTCATAAGAGGTGACTAAAATGCTGGAAGCAAGGGACTAGTAGCCCCTTCTCCTATATAAATTACTAAATTTAAAGAGAGAAACTTGCATTTTTCTTCTTAGATCACTCTGCCTTGGTGAGATATGACCGGTTTGATGAAAACAGAAAAAGTGTTATTCTTGAATGAAGCTTTGCATTCATTTTGGGTTACGTAAATTTTAACTTGCCAATATTATTAAACCCATTAAATTGTTTTCTGTCCAGTAGCTGGAGAATGTCTCTTTTGTTTGGTTTGAGACCTCTAATGCCAGTGTATCTTACTAGGAGAACAGTTTAGATTGATTTTAGGCTGTGTAGGTGCCAGTTTTCCACTTTATTAAAATTGGGAAAATGGAAGTACAGTACTCATTCTCGTTTGATAATTTGTGAATGTCTCATTTGATCGATTTCAAACCTTCATTACCAATACCTTGAGAATGCAGTTTGTAAGTGGCTTGAAACAAAACATAAAATGCTGGTGTGTTTTGTGATGTTGGTCTGTGTGTGATACCCAGAAACTCCCTTTTATGATTGACTTCAAACTTTTAAAGCTAGTGCATCCTACTTAGTGAATTCTTTGAATTGATGTGGGCTGTGTAGGTGCCAATTTACCATTTATATTGAAGGAATTGGGATAATAGTTTTCATGCAGTAACTTATAAGTGCCTACTGTGATTAGCTGCAGATCTTAGTACAGCCTCTCCTCACTTAACAACGGAGTTCTGTATCAAAGACCACATCAATGAATGAATTCATCAACAAGTGAGGAGCGTGCTATAATGGTAGTGGGTTTATGTCAACCATCTTAACACCATCTATAACATATCTGCTATATTTTTAAATGTTTATATAGTGGTGTACTGTATATTATAATAAACAGAATAGAGGAAATCAGTTCTAATATACAATATTTAGGTGTACACACTGGTCAGAGAGCCCATCGTAAGTCCGAGTCATCGGTAAATGAGTACATCGCTAAGTGAGGAGAGACTGTACTCATATTTAGCTGCACTAGTAACTTACGTCACAATCTGTACCATTCTTTTTGTGTACATTGAAGTAGAGGGATTCTGGCTTATGAAATATGGAGATACCCTTCACAGATCACTCAGCAACTGAATCATGCCTAGTTATTGTTTGTCAGTAAAATGTAATTGATTTTATGTAGCCATTAGTGTGGCAAATCTGAGAGGGGAGCAGGTGGGTACCAAAGTAAAATGTATTGGTGAGTGGGTTCTCGTTTTAATATAATTTGGTCGTGAAATGTGGATTTTGAAATATGACTACACACGTGTAGTATACTGAGCAGCAGTTGCAGGAAGTTTATTCCTCCATCAGCAGTATCCCACAAAGCAAATAGTATGGCTGCCAAAAGCTAGCCAAACTGTGTATTATTGCCCCTAAAAATCATCTCTGGAGGAGGAAGGTGTTAACAGATATTTTTACTTACTCTTATTTTTCTCCTGATATTCATTTTTTAGCACATATTGTACAGTAATTTATACTTTTTATTTTCAGGAATGTAACTTCTGTGTTAAATAGAGGTCTAATGTATTGTTAGCTCATTATTGTAAACATACATATGGGCATAGTTTTGCATAGGAACATTACCAGTCTTCATTAATAATAGTGCTGATTGTGAATTTTAACAAATGAACCAATAGTGAAATGCATCAGCCCTTCAGCAGACCTGTTTTGCTGCTGTTGTTTACAGTTGACACTCCCTGTGAGTTTTTACAGTTTACATAATGGCTAAAATGAAATTTAACAAGATAGTTAATTTCATTAGTCTTCTCAAAATTGATTATTATATTGCAGACTAATAATATGAATACAGAATCAAGTCTGCTCAGCAAAGGTGCTGCCAGTGTAATATACTCTCACTTGCAGGTACAGTTTCTTTCATTATATGTTTCTTTAATGAAAATTAATTTTTTTCAGCTCCAGTTGGCTCTGCAAAAGACAGGACCACTGAGTAGTTTTACACAGTTACAACTACAGCAAAAGCTAGCTGCTCTTGCCAAGCGCACACAACAACAGCAGCAGCAGCAGCAGCAGCAGCAGCAGCAGCAACAGCAGCAGCAACAACAACAACAACAGCAGCAGCAACAACAACAGCAACATCAGCAGCAGCAACATCAGCAGCAGCAACAACATCAGCAGCAGCAACAGCAGCAGCAGCAGCAGCAACAACAACAACAGCAACAACAACAGCAGCAGCAGCAGCAACAACAACAACAACAGCAACAGCAGCAACAACAATCACAGTAGCAGCATTAGCAATAAATGAATACATAAAAATATAGACTTTGTCTGTAGGAAAACCTACTTAGCCAGACTTGAATCCTGAAGGTGGGGAGGGCAGTTCCTGCACTCTGAAGGTGTGGGGATGTTGTGGTCAGAGGATCATCTGAATTATGATATCGGTACACTTCTGGCAAGACACACTGAGTGAATAATGTTTTTTTCTTTTATCCTACATTGGTGGGAGTATACTGTTGAGCTTGTTTTCTCTCTCTCTCATTCTCTCTCTTTTTTTCTTTTTCTCTCTTTTTTCTCTCTTTCTCTTTCTCTCTTTTTCACCATCTTTCATTTATTTGCTGCCTTGCAAGAGATTAATACACAGAATAACTTTGATTTAGTGGGTGTTGATAGCATAACTGCCAAGCATTGAATGGTGTTTTGACAATGCATATTTTTAGTTACCCCCTTAAGGGAGGCTCCTTGATACCAGTGAGGGGCTCTTGATCTAAGGCATTAAGCTCGATCTCTACTTCCTTGGATCAGACCTGATTACCTATTCCCTATGGGTTTAATGTGCCTCTGTGAATGTAATAATTTATTGGCTTTCCTATATTTTACACAAGGCTGCTAATCCAAATAGTATATGATGACTCAAGAAATCGTAATGACACGAGTGAAGGGACTTGAGCTAGAGTTCGTCACGGCCACGCTAGCTGGAGATTCGTCTGTAAAAACTTGCATTTGTGGTCACAGAGGTGCCTGTGCTAACCTTCCTATGGTGTAGAAATATACCTAGTTGGATGAATCTTATTGTGGCTAGCTGGTCTAGTGGCTAACGCGACGGGCTGGAGTTTTGAGACTCTATGACCGCGGGTTCAATCCCGGCCGGGGGTATGGTTAGTATATGATGTACCGTAGCATTTAGACAATTGTTAATAAAAAAATCTAATGCCAGTTCTGGGAAATTATAGATGAAAGAACTGCCCATGAAAGGTAAGAAAACATCTAAAAAAAATTATTTCAAATATGATAATTTGTTATAAAAACTATTCATATCTATATGAGAGGCATATGCACTGCCATGCTAGGAAGCACTCATCTTAAGGTGTTTGTGAGATTACCTGATACAGAGTGTGCAGGTCCTAATCCTGCTGTGGACTGAGAGATTATCTTTGTATGTAAGTAAATATACAATACAAGACAACTGTTTCTTTTCTGCAGTATACAAAATGTAGTTTACATGAAATAAAATATTGTTATGCACAAAAGACAGCCACTAGTATGAGGTGCATTTCACACACTAATCCTCTTGGTGAGAGTTTCAGTTGCCTATAGGATAATATGGTATCAGAGAATAAGTGTAGAAAGTTTGGTATAGATTTTCCTTACCTTTAGTGCTCCAGAAGGGAAAATAACACCTCCTAATTTTTAAAAATGAAATTGGCAAATTGACACCTACTCATCTTGATAGCAGTGCAGACTTTAAGTAACATACTTCAGCATTGAAAGTCTGAACCCAATCAGAGGAAGAGATCTCAGGTTGTCACATGGAAACCTTAGTGGAAGAAAAAAAATCTGATTAAATTTTTCAGGGGCTTCCGATTTCCAGCAGGGGTGTTTCTTTCTTGGACTATTTTTCGGTGCTCGGCAAATTCAAAACAAACAAGCAGCAACTACATTGGACCATGTTAAGAGCACAGCAAGTTGTTTTCAGTGAAATGAAGTTAGAGGTTCTGGCCATCTGCCATCAGTGTCAGGTTCCGGAAACTTTATTTATGCTGACGAATCAGACACACCTGACTTGCCACATAGATAAACAATCAGCACCACTCTGTGAAGACTGTTTGGTTGTACTGCCGTTGTACTGGCTATCATTGGGCATTTATCTGCACTGCCCTAACACATGCTAACTTACTTCCTCACTGAAAGTTCCACTTTTAATAAACTTGTTTCACCAACTTTGAATTAAATTTTATACTTAGACTAACCCCTACCTCCCCCTAACACATTTCTACTCTCACACATCACCCTACCTTCAGCACTGTGTGACCCATATGAGTTTAGCTCCTAATTTGATTGTACTTGTACAGTACAGCCTCTCCTCAGTTAGCGACGTACTTGCTTACCGACGGCCTCTCTGACTAGTGTGCATACCTAAATAATGTATATTAGAGCTGATTTCTTCTATTCTGATTATTACAATATATGTACAGTACATTACTGTACAAACATTTAAAATTATACCAGAAATGTTATAAATGGTGCAAAGGTGACATTAAAACAATATCAAAGATGGTTGACACAAACCCACAACCATTATAGTGTGCTCCTCACTTAATGATGAATTCGTGTACCGACGTGGTCTTAGGAATGGAACTCTGTCATTAAATGAGGAAAGGCTGTATTCCAAATTTTTTGCAGGGATATTCCTTTCTTGGACTATTTTTCGGTGTTCTCTCAGTACAGTGGTACCTAGATTTACGAGTTTAATTCGTTCCGTGACTGAGCTTGTAACTCAATTTGCTCGTATATCAAATCAATTTTCCTCGTTGAAATTAATTGAAATGCCATTAATCCATTCCAGCTCCCAAAACACCCCAATTTTTTGTTACGGGTTTTAAATAAGAAAAATGTATTTATAAATAAGATAAGATAAGATTTATAAATAAGATATGGGTGTGAAGCTTGGGTGGTAAATGCAGCAGCGAGGAGACGGTTGGAGGCAGTGGAGATGTCCTGTTTAAGGGCAATGTGTGGTGTAAATATTATGCAGAAAATTCGGAGTGTGGAAATTAGGAGAAGGTGTGGAGTTAATAAAAGTATTAGTCAGAGGGCAGAAGAGGGGTTGTTGAGGTGGTTTGGTCATTTAGAGAGAATGGATCAAAGTAGAATGACATGGAAAGCATATAAATCTATAGGGGAAGGAAGGCGGGGTAGGGGTTGTCCTCGAAAGGGTTGGAGAGAGGGGGTAAAGGAGGTTTTGTGGGCAAGGGGCTTGGACTTCCAGCAAGCGTGCGTGAGCGTGTTAGATAGGTGTGAATGGAGACGAATGGTACTTGGGACCTGAAGATCTGTTGGAGTGTGAGCAGGGTAATATTTAGTGAAGGGATTCAGGGAAACCGGTTATTTTCATATAGTCGGACTTGAGTCCTGGAAATGGGAAGTACAATACCTGCACTTTAAAGGAGGGGTTTGGGATATTGGCAGTTTGGAGGGATATGTTGTGTATCTTTATATGTGTATGCTTCTAGACTGTTGTATTCTGAGCACCTCTGCAAAAACAGTGATAATGTGCGAGTGTGGTGAAAGTGTTGAATGATGATGAAAGTATTTTCTTTTTGGGGATTTTCTTTCTTTTTTTTGGGTCACCCTGCCTCAGTGGGAGACGGCCGACTTGTTGAAAAAAAAAAAAAAAAAGATATTGTATAAAACATAATAAAGGAGAATATAAAGAATTAATCTGGTTTTATAAAGTGTATTTACCTTGGAGATCAGACGACTTGGGCTAACAGAAGATGCTGGCCAAGGTGGAGGCTGGAAAATACAGGCAGAGGAGATAGGCTTAATAGCTTAACTTACTTGCTACACTCTTCACTACTCCACCCACCACTATCAGTACTCCAACCACTGAAGGAACCTCCATAAGGCAGGTAAATATCACAGAGGCCTTCCTTAATGTTTCTGGAAAAACTCTGAGTGTTGAAGTGGAGGTTACTTCTTCCCCGGATTTATACGAGAACCAAACAAGGGACGAGGTGCCTCACTACAATCTGGGATTAGCGTGGGAGTATTATCCTTCCAGTTATGTCTTGGAAGAGCACGTAGGATGGGACGAAGTAGCTAACATTCCTCTGGGTACAGAGTTGGATTTTGGCTCGCAATTCAAAGCAAAAAATCGACTGAGCAACAGTTCGTAACTCAGAAAACTTGTAAGTTGGGGCACTTGTAAGTCAACGTACCACTGTACGTACCTCCAAAATTAATGGTACAATATTGGTTCAGATTAGAATGCAACATTGTTTTCTATCAGACTACAATTGGGATTTTGGCCATCTTCCCACTGCTGTTGGGTTTGGGAAACCAGTTTCGGAACTACAGATCTGAGTCATGCTGCTACCACATGGAGAGGTATCTGGTACCAATTTGCAAAGACTTTAATAGATTGCCCAATATGTTAGTAAGTAAGCAGGATTCATTTCTGACATCTACAATACCCTAACACACACACACACACACTACTGAACTTGCTGAAGTCCCATCTCCTCCTCACTACCCTTACTGACCATACCTCTGCATACTCCTAACCCCTTGCAAGTTTCTGATCTTCACATATTTCATCTTTAACACATCCTTCCCTGCAGTGCTATAACCCTTGTGGGTTTAGCACTTAGTTATGATTGTAATAATATTCAAATTTCATCACTGATGCATACTCCCCCTTGGCTTTTTAATGAAAACTAACCTGTTGCACTAGCTATGATTTCAATTTTACACTTCCAGTAACCCCGACCCACTCTAACCCAAACTCCTTCCACACACCTACTGTTGCATTTCTACCCATGTTGCTGTATAACCCTTATGAGTTTGGTGCTTGTTTTCAAGCACCAAACTTCATGGAAAGTTCCTTGATACTGGTGAGGTGCACTTGATGCAAGGAATTGGATCTTTCTTCCCTTTCCTTGGATCAAACCTGATTGCCTCCTAACCCCTCCCCTCCCCCAGGCACTATATGACCCCTATAGGTTCAGCATTTCCCCATGATGAAGAATTAGATGCATGCACAACATCTGGGTATCTTTATTTGTAGGTGTTTCGGCAACCAGTTGCTTTATGAATACAATACAAGGGCATAATGTGAAGAAGTACATATACGTATACAAAAGGTGAGGTAATCAGCCCCTCGGCCTTGGAGTTGAAGAGCCCCGTAGTCTTGAGGATTCTGAAGCACAGTCATGGAACTTGGCACTTATATACTGCCGACAGGTGTTGGATGTGCAGCAGGTGAAGGAATTGTTGCTAGTAAGCTAGTAAGTTTATTTAGGTACAGGTACACATAAATACAGTTACATAGATTATCATACATAGCAGCATATGTGTACATTACCTAGGATAACTGAAAAAGTAGAAGTAGGTTATACCCAAGGGATGGGCCAGTTGTAAGAAAGGTTATGTAGATGCCGTCTTTACCAAGATTCTTAGCGCTTCCCCTTGATTATAATAATAATAATAAGAACATAAGAACGAAGGAACACTGCAGAAGGCCTACTGGCCCATGCGAGGCAGGTCCAAGTCTCCTACCGGCTTAAGCCAATGCACCCAACCTAGTCAGGTCAGGTCACATTGACTTAAGGGAGGAACACGGCAACCGACCTGTTAGCACAAGCTATCAGGATTCCTTGATGTTGCAGTGTCTGACAGGTTATAAATAAATTGTATACAACACCGATACTGAGATGAAGTGAGCATGTTAGTGCAGCTGCAACGACAGACCCCCTGCCACAACCCTTACATGTTGCACCACTGACAAGTCATCTTATGTTTAAGACCCGTGCCAGGCAGTGTACCGGTGAACATCAAGCAACAACAAAAGAACATTTTGAGAAAATTAGGTCAGTTTTATCCCAGGATGCGACCCACACCAGTCAACTACCTATTTTACTGATAGGTAAGTAAGTTTATTTAGGTATACACAAATACAGTCACATACATAGATTATCATACATAGTATCATATATGTAGAGAACCTAGGATAACCCCAAAAAAGCCAGACAGAGTGACTTATTTCCATTGTGGTCCTTGGACCCCATGGACAGCAGGTAACCTGTGTTCTGCTGTGTTGACCTTGATGCAGTGTGCACCTCTCACTCTACCTTTACCTTCACCACAGTTGTAAAACATTCTTCTCACGATTTTTATAATTATTGAGGTGTCTGTGAAGACCTCGGGGCCCTTTTAACATCAATAATTTAATGGATTTTTAACCGATGCTGGTTATTTTAACTTGGTATATTACTTATTTTTGTTCGTTGTTTTTCCTTACTTTTATTGTGCTGTATACATTTTTATGCCTGTGAGCGTTGGGTAAATTATGCGGTCAAAGTGCTCCATAAACTCCAGGTAAACTACTACGAATTGTCCCTTTTTACACATCGCAGTATAACACTTATGGGCTTAGCGCTTAGTTATAATAATAATAATAATAATAATAATAATAATAATAATAATAATAATAATAATAATAATTCCCCTGTTTACTTGGCCGGGACTTGTCATCATGAGACCTCTGGACAGTTGGTCTAGGCGTCATGTAT